GGAATGCATTCAGATATACAAGTCTGAAGTAAGGAAATATTATGTGGGGACGTGTCACGAATGTGTAATTTCCTCTCAGGCGTTACTAAAAGCCCTTTGTTAGTCTTAGAATAGCTTTTTAGTTGACAGAGTAGTACGGAATGGTCTGAGCCTGCCAATGGAGCTATATTTTTTACAGCAAAAAGCTTTGAATAGTTAGTCAGGATATGATCGAGTGGGGCGTCATCTCGTGTATTGAAGTTAACTAAATCCTAACAATATGAAGGGACGTAGATTTACCCGATTGAAGTCCCCACATAAAATAATTACATGCTCGCAAGACAGTACGGCAAGCTTTTGGGAAAGAAAATCGAAAAAGTGGGTAAGGGCATCTTGACAGGTGGAAGGGGGTATGTAAATACTAACATAAATGATGCCTTTTGAGTTGTGTGAAAATTTACTGCAATAACGTCTATGTGGTCTTCGGAGTAAGAAAAAAAGGGACTTACAGTTTGTGCACCATTGCTGGTTTACAAAAACTGCTACTTTGCCACCTCTGCTGATTGATCGGTATTTTCTGTCCGAACGAAAACAGCAATAAGCCGGAGGTGTGATGAGCTCCGACTCTATATAGAGAAGAGATTTAAGTGAAATTGACGCGCAACTATTTACCTCCCCCTTAACCCATTACCCGTCTGAACCGGTGGCAAGATGATCGAACGGGCTCGAGCGTAGGCCGCTTTCTCCAATGCAGCCACACACACCACCTAACTCAGTCTTAAGTGACAAAAGACTTAACGTCGGTGCTAACGCACTATCTACTCTCACACACCTTCAATGGGTGTCAAGACAGACTCGAGGAAACCTTGGTTGGTACTGTCACTACTGCTATTTATGCTACTAATAACTAGGAGTGTGGCTGAGTGTTAATAATACATGCATTATTTCTGAAGCTAGTATTTTTCAGAGGCTAACGCTGGGACTCGCATCACCTTGATCTCAACCAGGAAGGCGAATGTGAGTTTATGCAATTCCGAATAAATCCATGCCTGTGACCCGGAGCGCATCAGAACGTGTCTTGGTTTCCGCCCTCTCACCCCTGTCAACCAAACGTTGTGCCACATCTTACTTACTAAGACCAGCGGATAGTTTATTCTTGTAATAAATTGTGTGTAATAAGTTGTGTGTTATCTTATTTACTAAGACCAGCGGATAATTTACTCTAGTAATAAATTCCTATAACTGGGGTGGATCTGAAAAAGCAAAAGGAGACCGGAATTGCCATTTCTGACTTGTTGGCCGTCATCAGCCAGTCATACTCAATCCCAGGTGTTGTAACCCGGGACCTTTGGTCATTGAGTTTAACACTCTACCACTGCACCACGGGCTCGTTGCTTTGTCGGTTGAAATCGCGAATATGGTAGAATTGAGTGTCCATTCAATCTACCTGATTTTTGGCATATACTTGTTCCGGTGTTCCTTGAGGCTCGTACTTGAGTGACTTCAGGTTGTCGCTTATCGACCTCAGATATATAATGGATTGGATCCGACATAGCAATAGCTGACATGCATTGTCCTTTTACAACGCATAACAGATGGAAGTATGAGCTTACGCGTGCCCCAAACTTCATCTGGGCTGATTTCTAAGAAACCTGGGCCAGCCTTCCCCTCCAGTAAGTAAGTTAGACTGTTCAGGAGATAGATGAAGAACAGAGTACACAATAGAGAAGACGACTCGATCGCTGGGACAATACGTTTATTCGCCCCACGTTTCGAGATCCATCGCGGATTCGTCATCAGAGACATAGTCAGATAGCAGTAGCAGATATGGGTTTGCAGTATTTATAGGATGCGATCATTACTGCAAACATACAAATACAATTACTGCCAATTGTCTTATTGCGTGTTGATAGTTTGTTGAGCAGTATGTGGGTTCTGGCCTGTTGAACTTTCATCACGAGTGGTGGACTCGGGCGCGATGATTGTTTAGCCATCTGGCACTCCGGTGTTGGCGTAGGATGGTGCGGTGGCCTGTCCGTTCCTCAACTCTTCTCAGTTTCTTCCTGAGACTAGCATGTTCGCTTCTATTCACAACAGGTTGAATTTGCATATGATCCAAGCATGACAGTAAGGTCATTGTTCACGCTACGACTAGGCAATAATAATGTTTCCTTGAGAAATAGGTAGGAAAAGTAGGGAATATAATAAACAAAAGCCAAAGGTAGTTGATTTTGGCCAACTAGCATATTCGTTATTTCATCTTCATTCGCTCTTCCCTTACTTTTTTGACAGCCGGACCGTCCGAATCGGATGTAAATCGCGTATTTACCTCTCCTCAGTGCGTGGTGGTGGCGTGGAGTTGGTGAGCTTCGACATGCGCCACAACCATCTTGTCTCTGTGCAGACGGCTCGCCTCTACTGTCAGAATCGGCGACTACCTCCCGAGGCCCTGCAGAAAGCCGCCGGTCTTATTGCCGAAAAATATTGGTAATTTCGCCCTCTGGCGGTATCTCCGAGGTAGGCGTTGGTTTTTGGCTATGCATCAATTCACTATGACAGAGGTCGGGAACCTTTTTGACTCAGAGAGCCGAGGAGGCAAATATTTGGAAATATGTTTCATTGAGAACCATGTAGTATATTTTTAGATTGAATTTAATTAAATGTGAGTAAAATAAGCCTCTGGATTTATTCTTTTAAATAATGTTGTTGTAATACTCACCGTTAATTCGAATTCTGGGCCTGCATGGATTTTCTGATGACTTTTTATTCTGTTTAGTACTTGTTGAGGGTAAGCTTCGTGCAAGCTTTGAGGCTTTCCTCCGTTAGGCGTGATCGTAGGGTAGACTTGATATACTTAAGATACTTACACGCTGCAATGTGTGGTATGTGACGGGAAGAGTGTTCCAGGTTTTAATAATAGGCTGTTCTTCGGGTTGCATTTTTTTCCTTGCTGTCTACATGGGCTTGTTAGCCAATTCCGCTTTCTGTCTTGCCATTCTTTCCAAATCTTAATTCAGTGACTTGAACTTACTTACCTACACGTCTGCGGCCTTCAGGCCAGTCACTGCTTCTTCAAAATCTCTAACGGAGACACCAGAAATGTTACGTAGGTCGGCTGTGTTCCGTAAACAGTCAAGATTAGATCAATTCTGTTACGCGTCTCGACAGTGGCACGCCATTGGACGAAGTTTCTAATTCCAATTTTATCTGAGAGAGCCACCAGATGCAATCATCAAAAGAGCCTTACCTGACTGGCGAGCCATACTTTTCCGACCCATGAACTATGGTCTAGTGAACAGTCTTCTAGTGACTTCAATCAGGCAGGTTTGAATATGCCTGTCATACCTAGAATGTTCAGGGGTCTAAAATAAGCTCAGCGTTGGAATGGACGGACTGTTTATTCCCATAATAATAACTACCAAACTTGACAGGATATATATGTGTGTTTTGTGTATTGGACGTGCGTTTGTCAGTTCATTTAAGCAAAAATCGCTAAAGATTATGACGACCGGGGTGACCATTTCCGGCTTATTAGTCATAATCAGCCAGCAATAACCAATCTTAGGCGTGGCAACCCCTGACATGCAAAAGAAAGCTTACTTTCTGTCCTTGATCAGACTTATCTTTGAGCAAGTTTAAAAAATATTTGTAGAAAAACAAACCTATTCAATAGAGTCAATTTTGCCAGACTGTTCGTTAAGTGATGGAAAACTTTTATAGAAGAGAAAGAGCTCATAAGGAAAAGTGGCAAGCCTTACTTTAATAGCTAACGCCAAGCCGACGCCTGATAATTTAAATATTTTTATCCATAACGTTTATTTAAAATTCGTACGCTCCGCTCCCGACCGGCCGGGTTTGGACCATTGCCATCCTCGGGTCTATAAAGTAAACCTTCTAGGACGGGACCGTAGCCATTCCACGTTGTCGTCAATCAGGAGGCTCTATGCGTATGGTGTTGGACTTCTTACCAACCGATCGTGTGTCCGAGCCTCTGGGTATAGCTAGTTGATGAAGGCTGACAATCCAGCTAGGACCATTCCAGCGTGTCTTGTATTCGTCTGTAATGCTATTCCGTCAATAAGCTATATACTCCCTTGAAAACTGTCTCTTAAACCAGCTGTGATGTGCCTATACATATGCAGAAAACACCTCCCACGCCTCTGAACGCCATGGTTTTGTCATGTCCTTGACGAAAGTTTTCTTTGATTTCCAAAATCGTCGGGCAGTAATATCCTGCTATTCACATAAGA